AGTCATTCCCTAAAAAACGGTATGGGTCCTATGCACTTCGTTATTGAAAATTGATTATTATAATTTTCGCAGATATCGTTGATCGAAGGGTTGATTTTATAAATTTAGTTTTGCCTTAACCAGAAATATCTCACCTTTAGTCGTTTTGATTAAAGTTTTGAAAATTAAAAAGAGAAGGTTTTCGAAACATTGACTGTGTCTTGAGTAGTAGTGCCTATATACAGAGTGTATTTAAAGAAGCGGTACAAACGCTATCAAAAAATTTTGAGGTCAAAATATGATAAATTGATCAAATATAAACCCGTTCCAAAGTTGTTTTATATACAAGTTACAAAGTTTTAACTAATGATAATGTGGGAAAAAATTACTCTGCACGGACTACAGTCCCGTCCAGCATTACAATATTTGATAAAAAAAACAAAATCATTCATTAGCAGAATCACCGTTGTCCACCATCACCATTCACAATGATAGCGTTTCAAATAAAAACATTTCTTCCGTTTTATTTGAAAAACGGATCTTCGAATCTTTCCGAGTTTTTTTTAGCTTCAAAATTACATCGTTGAATAAATTGAAGCTAAAACTTACAGGTCGTTTAAAAAATGCATGGGAGTTTTATTTTGCAAATATCATAAATAATACAACGTAGAAGGAAAGAATCAATTCTTTCACTGATCCTTTTGGCACAAGAAAATACTTATTTAAAAAATATCTTTCCAGTACTGGCGAAATATCCAATTATACAGGATGTCCCAGAATAACGTGTACAACGGAAGACCACAGATTCGTGGACTCAAAATTGGCAAATTTAGGCTAGAAAATTTTTTGAATTTTGTAATAACTCGAATAGGTATTAATCGATTTTGGTTATTTTTCGGGGTTGAACTTTTGCATTCAATCTACAAATTTTGATGTTATACAGTGTTTTTTGAAACTCACAACTCCTAAAAATTGATGTATGGTGATAATATCCGTTCATAACTTTTTCCTCTTGCGGGAAATAATGACAACTATTTTTTATTTGATAGATGACACCATTTGGAAGTTTTTGGGCCTCTTATAGAATTTTGCTTAAATGAGCGGTTTGGGTACATTATTTTGCCACCCATATTACAATACTTAACAAGGTGCTAGTAGTCACTGATTTTGTAGGTTGACTGTAATTTCAGTTTGATCTTTAAGTCATTGTATCACTCAATTCTTAATGAGTGTTTACTACGACAAATTATACCACATGTTACTTAATTTCGATATGAATACGCACATACGACGAATTAAAGTTATTTACAACGTACCTAATTTTTTTGAAATAGTTCGTAAAAACAAACAAATAAAATAAAAAATGGTGGAGATAAAAGTAACAAAGTTGACGTTATTAAAGTAGGTACAACTTATAAAAACTGTTCACGCTCGAAATCGGTCATGTGACCAATTTTGTTATCTTATAACTTGGTATTTACAATTTACAGAAGTGCATAAAGTCTAGGGTCACTCGTTAAGCCGGTTCCAGATGGTGTGGTCACTTGCCAAACATTTGTCAGACGTAAAGAAATGTCATATCGTGTTGATGCTGCATATCGATATCGCATGTCTACCCTTGCCAAATATTTGCCAATGTATATTACATTTGAGGAGATATTTGTCATGTACCCATATTGTACATCCCTTATCAACTTCCAAAGAACACGGCTTGTATGTAGTAGTATTAATATATTTTTTTTCATGAAAAGAAAACAGAAACAAGTTACCTAAGAACGAAAATAAATCCCATCGCGCTAATAAATCCACGGAACACAGAAGAATCTACTTCTTTTCAATATGGTTGACTGGGTCAAGGCCATAATTATTTATTCCCTTGAAACGTATTTATAAAAAAGTGTGCGCCCTTACCGATTTCTATTATACTGTTGCGAAATAACACTTTGCATGTTCCCAAATATCTAAGCGTAGGTATATGTACACCCACACCTTTTAATTCTTGTACTAACGAATCATAATTCACTCCCGAGTTTTTTTATTATTGAAACCGTCGAACGAAATTTTGTATGTATAACTTCAATTTTAAAGCCGCTTATTTTTGCACACTAAAAAATCCATTAAAATATTTATTTTTCTATTTATAAAAAATGTTAATATTTTAAGTTTAACCTGAAGAATTTAAATACGTGATTTGATCCAAAATATGCATAGTTCTTCCTTGTCCTACATTTTCGACAAACAATATTATCTCATTCATCAACTCGATCAAACGTTTTCAAAGAAATAATTCACAAAAAAATGAGGGGGAGGTTGCATAGAGCTAAATTCAAATAAATAAAACTGAAAATTAATATAAATAAATGTTATGCTGAATTTCTTGCATTATTATTGTAAAAACCATAAATAATTCTAAAACTTGATGGGGTTATAGCTTTTCACCATTATTGCTGAACAGGGCATATTCCAATCAATACAACTTAATTTTTCTGATAAAACTGCATACGAAATAGCAAAAGCTGCCGAAACCCATTCCTGGCATCTAAATTACTTGATCTTGGCGCCCAATGAATATTCGACACGTCCGAAAAGGAAGAATATTCATTATTGAATCTGCAAATGCCAGGACCATAGCAATCAGAATAACAATAACAGTACGAATAATACCACTGTCGTGGAGTGATAGAAATAGCTGCGATTTTGCGTAAAACTCTCAGCCAGATAAGATCGATTCGCCGTTCTTTGTCGCACGCACGTGGTATCGGACGAATCAATTTTCACCATCAGCCACTGTGCCAGGATATATATCTCTAAGTATAACCCACAGATCACAGAAACAATGTATAACCCCAAAGCTCCCAAAGACCAAGGCAGTACTTGGAAAGTGACTGCAAAATACAAGTTCGTATTGATGTAAACTGCAAATACGGATGTTCCTAAGCGTACTAGTCTACTAAATTCGTACGTGCAATGCACAATTGAGTTTTAAAAAGTACGATAGTACCTCTCTGCAACGCATGATACAATTAAAGATGAATGAGGTTGATAGGAAACATCGACAGTAATTCCTTTTATCATGTGTCACCCCTTCTCTTAAAATTCCCTCCATTCTAGTTCTCTGTTCAATGTACTTTGAGTTCAATGAGCATTCTTATAGTTAACTATGCTACTTCTTATCTCGTTTATTTATATAGCAGAGCAGTTGCCTCTGGAGTTATTACCCTTGTTTATTAACAACTATATAAGCAAGGTTATTATTACTTATGAGAAAAATAGTCTTTGTAATATATGTGTATTTTAAAAGGCCAAGTATACTGGTAATTCACGTCAGAGTAAAAGAATGTTCTCCGATGGCCTGGAGGCATTACAAAATTTCATAAAGCCTCTTTTCAGTTTTTAATTTACGGTTGCAAAATTGATCATTGTTTACCACTTTTCAAGGTCATGACATGATAAAATTTGTTATGATGGTACCTGATTACAGATATCCCGTTTTGGCATAGTCCTAGTATTTCTCCCATTTCTGTAAATTCAATAACTTCGATAACTGCATTTACAGAAATGGTAGAAATAACACACCACATTCACGCAAATACGCTCAGATTTTTACGGCAAGTTTCCTTCCTTAAAACTTTTAATTCATATTTTAACTTAAAGACAGGAGCCTTCGTCAAGTTTTTGTAGTAAACTTTTGTATACCTAACGATTTTCGCGTAATCAATCAAGTCAATTACTTTATTAGTTATAACGAAACCAGACCAGCATAATGTGTACGAATCTGATTTAATTACAGGAAATTGTTACAATTTTTAGTACCCAAGTACTATAGTTCAGTAAAAAAAATGAATCACATTTCTAATTTAACTGTTTTTTCAAATAGACATAAATACTACCTTCTATATCTGCTTTATTAAGTGAGAAAAAGTTTAAAATGTAACTTTGTAACAAGCAGTTGTCCCAAAATACACGAAACCTGTATTAATGGTTGTCTATCAAATAATGAAATATATTTTTACACAGCCTACATTTTCCATATTTTTAGATACTTCATACATTAAATTTTTATGAATAGTATACCTGACATCGAGTTACTATTTTTAATTTCTTTTCAACTTATATTTAAGTTTCCCTAACCGCAACAGATCGCGAAAACGTAAACATTCAATGGCGATTTATAACCTTATTTTTTCATGCTTTGGTCGTCTTTTATTTCAAAAACAAACAATTTCAATTACCGTGTCATAATTCATCATTGGGAAAATTCAGCAATTCAACTCCGGATACTAACTTGACGACTGGGCTAGGAGATGATTGTGCACAAAACAGAGGTTAACATACACACATACCACTAATAAACTCAACACACTCTGTTTCGCTTACTGTAGTAACAGGCGGACTGTTCAGTCATTTGATCTAAACATTCGATGTCATATAAGTAGTTCAAATGTCTTTTTTTAACTCTATTTTACAGTATTAAACGCATATATATATATAATACTACTTACATATATGATTAAACGCCAACGTCTTCTATACTTCTTAATGTATTTTTTTTGACACCGGGTATTACTTGGCAATTATTTAAAAACTGCAGTTATAGAAATTAATTGAACCAACTTACGATAAGCTTTTGTGAATATGTATATTATAATGTAGGTAATTTAGTCTGATTTTATTCATTAAGCATATTATTTTAACTTTACGTTGCAACTCATTCTACTATCAATTATTTATTATAAATATTACTAATATTATTAATTAGGAACAGAGTGACTCATTGAGTTTTCAAGAACTACAATGACACCTCCTTATCGTTTGCATTTTCAAGAAGCGGCAACGCGGACAAACAAATATTGACGCTAAAAACTACACATAATCAATGACCTCATTGCAGTGGTCAGCTATAATCTTGTTAGATGTAGTAATAAACTTTGCAAAACTCCAGCGCGTTGTTGAACCCGAACCGGTAAAAATCGTCAGGAAACATCTGATGGTCAACTGCGTACGGTCATTCCATTTTGTGTAGATATGTATAAAAGAATTTAAATTAGATTATCCTGGCAATAGTGTTTGCAGCGTCAACACTACTAGAAGCAGAACAATGTCCAAGTTATTCCTTTGTGTATTTTTCCTGTTTTTGGCGGTTCAGGATGCGATCATGCACTCCTACCATCTGGGCGCATGTCCTACCATTGAACCAGCGCAAGATTTTAACATGAACAGGGTGAGTTTGTTAAAATTTTAGTAGAATCTTCAGAAATAATACAAAAAGGCATTTTCTACGTTTGGTAATGACGATTATATCAGTAGGCTGACGAAATTTATACTCTTCCTGTACTTTATATCGAATGTCAACGACAACCTCGTTATTTCTAATGTTTAAAATATGATTGCTATAATTTTATATTACAAACAAAAAAATATATACAGGGGGTAATTAAAGTACTTGGCCAAATATTAATAGCCGATTTACGTCGCAAATTAATAAAAGAAATTCCTGCAAATGAGTTCGAAAACGCTTTGTTTTATGTTGAAAACGGTGCATCCTAGCGATGTATCGAGAACTATTTCGGTACTTTGAAATAATTTAATTTAATTTAATAATTCGGTCGATAGCCGCACGGTTTAAGGCGTCAGTCCTTTAATCGTGTGCAAATTTCTGCCCGAGTTCTATTCCCGCGGCCGGTAGACCGTAGATTAGAGGTATGCTTGTACGGAGGATTGGCACCCTCTGTGCAGGTATGGTAGGGTGGAAGAATGTTGGCTTGGGTCAATGTGAAAGATTGAAGTCGGCTGGCATTTGACCACCCCCCCTAATTAATGAGGTTTTCCAGGTTTCCCTCATTCCTGCACAGAATGGTGGTAAGGGCCTACCAACATAAGTCGTTCCTGGGCGCAAATGCGGCCTACCTAATAATAATATGCCGCCTCCTCTCCCGCAAGTCATCGACCTATGGGTTAATTCTCTTACTTAGAAAGTGGGGTAGATATTATTTATTATTTAGAAAAAAAATTGAGCGCGACAAATATTACTAAGTGTAAATCCGAAACTATGTACATAAACAAATGTGTCCACATTTTCGTAATTAGAAATACACAATTTTTATAATACTAAGTATCAAAAACAAAGCGTTTCCAATCATATGTTTATGGTTTTTCTTAATTTGTGATGTAGATCCGCCATTAAAAAGATAACTTCAAAAAATTAAATTTAATTTTCTTGAACTATGACATTGACACATGGGAAAACCCTTAACAGATTTAAAATTGCAGCGTTAATGACAAAAGGTTACGAACTTTATTGATGAAAGTGATTAGCAAACAGAAAATATATAATATGTATAAAAACAGAGTTCATAAATCCATAGTTATGCACAACAAACATTTCAAAATATTTCATTTTTTTTAGGCAGTAATTTTATTTAAAATCTTTGTAAATGTTGCAAATAACGTATATGTTTTTTTGAAATACATCTCAATTCACCATGAAAAATAAATGTTATAGAAAATTTAATAATGCATGTGCCGATACTTTTTTCACAAATATTTCTAATCATTGTTTTGTTTGTTGATAAATATTTATTAATAATAAATATCTTTCAATCCCCCTTGTTTCAGATGTTGGGTATTTGGTACGTGATAGAAAAGACCAGCACGGCTAGCACTTGCATCGTTTACAACATAACAAGAACCGATGAACCGGAGGAATACCAGATCGAAGAAATCAGCCAACATTTCCTTCTGGGACTAACACCTCTAAAGCACGGATACCACTACACCGGCACCCTAAAAGTGCCAGATAGTGCAGTACCTGCCAAAATGACAGTTAAATTTCCACTCAGTAAGTTCAAGCATTATTAACAAACTACTAAAACATAGATTATCAACATACTTTTAAACATAAAATAAAAAAATAATCAGTCATTGTTATTTATTTATAAATTTAAACAAGCGTAAAGGAGCTGTTGTTTGAATTTAAACGAATGAGTCACAGTATTCATTGTCTCAGGGCAAAGTTCAGCATTGGGATATTATGCTTTCTTCTTGTATTACACAACAAATTTATTTGGATATTTTGCGCTAAAAGGGTATGAAGTTACTTTTGCCTAATCAAAAATATCACACTGGAAAGAAGTAAATATATAAAAACACATATCCTCTTCAAAACTGGGATTTGTTTTTGCGAAAGTTTCTAATTTGTTTATAAAAAATGTACTACAATCAAAACAGACCTCATTAAACAAGTTTTCTTTTAGGCGTTGCTGGATCGTCATCTTTTACAGTATTTATGACCGATTATACCACCTATGCCGGAATTTTCACTTGCCAAAAACTTACGTTTGCCCATAGACAGTCTGCAACTATTCTATCACGTACCAAAACTTTGGACAAGATCTATATTGACAAGGTGAGCGAGTTTGTTTTTTTATAAATGACTAAAGTTATTGGTCACGTATATAACTGAACACCGGATTTCATGTCTGGCATGTCAGAGATGGACATTTACTGGAATGTAATAGAATGATAAATCAAAATAAAGCACTAAATTGTATTATTCAAATAAAAATTGTGATTTGAGCACACTCGACTTGCAGCCACTTGAGCATTCAAATTTATCTAGTAAATGTTTGATATTATTTTTAAAATGGATATTATAATTAACAAAATTTCTAAGTCCTTATAATGCGAGTTAAATTACAGATTTAACTTACCTGAAAATAAAGGACATGAAGAATGTAGTACGAATAACTGATGCGGAGAATATGAAACTTTATCTACATTATATTACAGAGTGTTTTCTAAATCTACACATATGACGAAAGTTGAAAGCCACTAAATTTTTGGGGAATTGAAGTTTAAAAAAATATGTGGGAAGTGGTTTAATGTAGATTAATGAAATTAGGGTTGATAATTTGTTTGATTAAATGGAAAAATTTGCTAAACTGGGAGGCATTAACACTAAGAATGTTATTATTTCAAAGTGAAAGGGGTTTTACTATACATATTTAAAGAATGATCCATTTTCGAGTTTCGATCTTTTAAAATTTAAAATAAATTATGGCACAGTTGAATAAATCTAAAATAACAAAAAATCGCAAACATTTTTAAATATTTATAATGATTTTTTGTTGGTCTTATGGCACTTGTTTCGTTTAGACTTATTTGAAATTGTATTTCCAATAAAAAATTCCTATACATTTTTTTCCAGTTAAATAAACAATTTTAGATATTGTGATAACCTTATTTTAAAATTTAAAAAAATAGCTTGAAAATAGCGTTTGTTCAAATAAATTATAAAGCCTACCTTATAACTCTACCACTAGTCGACAAATTCGTGAAATTTTTTATATGAATTACTTACATTTTCAACCCAAGTATACAGGGTGTAAGAAGTTTGACTGCCATTACTTGATGAGATCATAAATCATAAATGAACAAAAAAGTTGTACAGGGTGTCGCGCTTAAATGTGAAAGCCTGTAGCTTTTGATTTTTGACCGATTTCAAAATTTTTTTTTTAGAATGTAGGATAAAAAATCTGTATCTAGCTGTAATGCTGCTGTTTTTATTAATGCAATTCAGGGTCAACTAGGACGCGTTTTTTTGACGTCTGAACAGCTAATTGGTATTAGCGATTTTTTTTCCAAAAAACAGATTATGTATCCTCATTCAGCATCTCTTAAAATGTCTTACCACCAAATTGCATCAAATTCGATACATCTTCAGACGAGCACTAGTTGGCCGTGTATTGCATTAATAAAAAACAGCAGTATCAGTCATATAGTTTTTTTTTACCATACATTTCATAAAAAAAAAATTTAAATCGGCCAAAAAAAGAAGTTACAGGCTTGTATCATATTCCTTCGGAAAAAATGTAACCAGCTATCATTGTGAAACATTTAGTAAATTTCAAGACAATTGTTTTCGTTTTTAAATAACTAAAATAAAATGTATCGATTCTGTAGTACGAAGATAGTGTAGTGCTTAAATTTTAGCTTGAATTTTAGTAATTATGAATCTCTTAAAACAGGAACTTAACTTTTAATCAAATTACGTATTTGAAAAATATGTAATTAAAGTACCCAAAGATTCACGTCGTCCAAATAATCATACATATTAAAAATAATTTAGGTACGTACCAAATAGCAAAATTCAGTAATTTTTAAACGCACAAGTACAAAACAAACTACAACATATACTCAAAATGTCCACCACCATTTTCGATGCACACACTACACGTTCGAATCCAATATTCGCGCACTGGTTGGAAACCACCTCAAGAAAAGGAAATAGTGGTACGCAAAAAACACTCAGACACAGTCCAATTCCAGATACCAACTGAATTGCGTATTGGTGGTTGCTGGATACCTTAGTACCTCGTGTTAATAAACCGCCGCGCTGTTATCACATTGCTCGATATGAATTTTATCGAATTTTAAATTTATTACAATGCTAATTATTTTTTAGAATCAAGCATAAAGAAGTTAAAAAAAGTGATAAACATTGTATTTTATGGTATTCTATGCATGCAGTTATGTCAATATTCTTTAATTAATCGAACTTTTGTACATCAAGTTGAAGATTTTGATAATTTTTTTCTCGGAAATGGTAGAATTTAGGACCCATGTCATATAAGGTTGTTTTGTTTATTTAATGTATTCCATCGTCTGTTAAAATTAAGGCAGTCAAAGTTCTAACACCCTGTATTGTGTGTTTACTATCAACCCTCTCTATCTTCAAAAAGCTTACACCCTTGATTCACACTAAGGCTTTTTGGTCTAAAATGACTCGAGGAACAATATTTCCAAACTTTCGACACATACTTAGAAAATAACCTGTATTATATTTTTAAGGTGCTAATTAAAAAAAACATCTCATTTTCACAGTTAAGGAACAAACTTGCCCAAGCCCAGATCGACCCCTACGACCTATCCATCATCAGCCAAAAGGACTGCCCCCAGAACCTGACCGCTGGGTATAACATCAACATAAACGACGACACCATCTCGGCTAAGGCGGCAGCCAATGTCATAAGAACAGCCGGTGATAAAATAGGAGACGGAGTTGAGTATTTATCGGGAAAAGCCAAAGATGTCTACCACAAAGTATCGGATGACAGTAGGGAAGATCGTACCGTAAAACCCGCTCGACAAATAAACGATCCCGAAGCAGAGTGGCTACCTTAAATTTATTACTACTTTTTAGGCTGGCTGTATTTATTTATACGTAACAAAAATCTTCACCTCTAGTCATTGCCGATTTTCAGACAGCCGAAATTGTGTTCTACTTTACGTAGATGTGCCAAATATTACGATTCCTGTGTAAAGATTATGTTAAATAAATTTTTTGAGTTTCAGTTGTACGATTCAATATTTGACCATTCAGCAAGAATTGAAATTATTGAAAAAATTACCAAAACACAAAAAAAATTCAGTCTGCGTTGCCACAATTTATCTATTTCATATATCCCACTCCCAAAATTTAAATGTATGTACAGGACGTACCGGGAATAATTGGCCAAACTTAAAATTTGAATTCAATTTGAACAAAATAAGAAATTCACATTTTCTAAACTATTGGGTCTGGGAAATAGTTCGTGGCATTTTTTTTTTTGAAAATGAATTTATTTAAACCAAATACGCTCCACTATTATCGACAATGTTTCGCCATTTCTCGGGTAGAGCCATGATGCATCCGTGAAGAACCTCTGGCTTCTTGTTGAAAAACTAAATCAAGTAGTTTTCACAGGCTTTTTTTTTAAGCCAACTTAATTCCATTGAGAGAGTTCTGCAGAGATCAAAAAAGTGATAGTCAATGGGTGCTATGTCTGGACTATGTGGTGGATGCATCAAATCACCAACCAAGCTCTCGCAATTTTCGACGGGTCATCAAAGAAACGTGTGGTTGGACGTTATCATGATGAAAGACAACACCTTTCCTATTATTCAATTCAGGCCGCTTTCTTTCAATTTCCTGGCATAATCTCTCCAGTTGTTCACAGTAGAGTAGAAAATCAATTGTCTGACCAACTGGAAGTAGCTCGTGGTGGACGATTCCCTTCCAGTCTCACCACATACACACCTTCACCTTTTTCAACGCAATCCTTGCTTCGTAAGCGCTCATCATCCCTTCTCCACGATCTTTGATGCTTCCGATTGTCGTACGTGACCCATTTTTCATCTCCGGTTGTGACACATTTTAGAAATGGCTTGATTTTATTGTATCACAGGTGTTATTTCGGTCTAACATGTTTTTTGCACTTAACTCATGAGGGACCCATACATCGACACTGCTATTCGTATCTTGCTGGATTTTTCAAGAATTTTACATCAAAATTATCAGAACGAGAGAGAGCGAAGCATTTCCACGGGGCAGACTTTTAAAAAGTAGCTTCACCATACACAGTACAAAGAGTGACCGCAAAAATCGCCCGTTTTTTCACAATTCGCAGATAACTAAAGAAAATAGATAAAAATGTTTTTGGTCTCAAATTACTCGTAAAAAATTAAGAGCATAGCTTTTTTTTTGAAAATTTTCAAAAATTACCCCTATTTAGGGGTTGAAAAGACACCCAAAATGATGAATTGAATATTTCCAATAAATATAAAAACTATTAGCATGTGAATTTTTCTATTGAATGATTTTTCATACAAAGAAAGATTTATTCTCATGACTGAAATAAGCATGTTGAATTAGAAAATCCACCCTTAAGAGCGCTCAGGGGGTGGAATCATCCCCAAAAATAGAGAATATCAGAAATAATTGTAAATTCCAAAAAAAAAAATAGTTTTTACATCAATTGGTAATATTCAAATTCTTTGTTTTTGGCATTTTTTCAACCCCTAAGTAGGGGTGATTTTTTAAATTTTCAGAATACTAAAAACTATACTCATTTCAGTTTTTTACGACAAGTAATTTGCGACCAAAAACATATTTTTATGTATTTTTTTTTAATTCTCTGGGAATTGTGAAAAAACGGACGAAAATCACAGGTTTGGTGCCGTCATTCTTTTTTCACAAGCTTGTGCAGTATCCTTAACTTTGTCATAATAATATTGCAAAATATAGCGCAATTTTTCATTGTTTTGCTCTGTTTTCAAGCGCAAACAACTTTCCAACCACTGCACCAACTTCAATATATATACGCTAGCACACTAGCTTTTCAACGAATGTTTATTGGTGTCGCTACGATCAGTGGTTTGTGAGTTATTTGAAATTAACGCCATCTATTGGGAAAAACGCCACCAACTTTTTCCTAGACCTAATATCTCTGAAGATATTTGATGTAAAGCGATGAAACTTGGGCCAAATATATTTAGATACATTTTAGAAACTGTTTGTTTGTTTTATTTTCACATTTTAATATCCCATATCTCGAAAACACAGTATCTCCGAACATTTCTTCATAGGACTGGTTTTTGTTATTTTGACCACCGAATTTAAATTTTAAGGTTGGTCAATCAATCTCGCTACAACCCGTACAATAATTGGAATTAAAACACGTCAAACGACCGGTTTCCGATTTTCGAAAAAGGATCAAGGTCAGGGAAACTAATAAAAACAACACAAAACTAACTAGATATTTTTTCAAAACATACAAATCTTAAACAATTCAACTATAAAAACACTTATAAATGTATTTAAATAAATACAAACATAAAACAATTAATTGTTAATTATTAAGTGGTCTCAACTCAAGATACAATTGTATGTACAGGACTGACCTCATGATACGAAAATATGTCGGAAACTGTCAAAATACCGTTTCTTAAAATAAAATTAAAAAATAAAAGCTATATACACTTATCAGTACATAAATCAGTTTTCATCCTCTTTGGGATCTGACAAGGTACCTAAAATAAAAATAAATTGCTTTAAAGGTACCGAATCACCAAAAGCAAATTACACACCCATGCACAGATATAAACAACAGAAATCAAACACGTCAGAAAATAATGGCAAACCACAGTACGAATCTACACACTTGAAATTAAGGCATAATAATAATTAAAAAAAAACTTATAAGGAACATACAGTATTCAATAGTAAAATTTGTCTTGCAGCTTTTTTTAACATTCTGTATTATAAGATCATCTTTCTTAAAATTATGTGCAAATTCTTAATGTGCTTGAACTTCAAAGATACTAAAAGAGGTAATATCCAGGATGTTTGAAAAGTATGAGAAAAAGAAAATTTATAGAAGTAAATGACTGATTAAAAAGTCAGTTAAAAGTTAAAAAAAAATATTATTAAAAATATATGATTTTTATCTGAATTCTTATAGCTTTAATATATAAAACTATACAAAATTTGTATTCTATATATCATTTTTTTTAAATAATTACTATTTTTTTGATAAGGAATTTTAAAGATGGTCAAAATAAAAGAAAACTATTAGAATTTGGCCAATAAATCCCTATGCTTAAAAAAAAATTAGCTATTTCAGATAGAGAAAAAAAAATATGCATTTAATGTTTTGAGGCAACCATGGAAAACAATTGGAATTTACCAGTTTTGCAGTATACAAGGTGTTTAGTAAGTCCATGCATTCCTTGCAGGAGGTTATAGTACAAGTGATTTGTGATATATTTTCATAATATACTATATTCCGAAAACGTTTAGTTTCCGATCTACAGGGTGTTAAAGTTTTAATAAAAAAATGCAAATTTAAAAATATATTTTAATGAAATTTTACAGGCTTTGACAGTTAACAACAATACATGTTTCACGATAAAAATGTTGTTTTCAGTTACACCAGTGCAGTGGCATGCGCACAGGTACGTCTTTGGATATTTTTAAAGAAAAAAATTATACGCCACTGATTTTTCTTAAAATAAAAATTATTTTTTTATTCCTTGTTCAATTGAGTGCATAGTTTCTGCTATTTTTCAAATCATTGAAACCGGATTACGCTGTGCAATAAATCGATTTTAATTTATTTACTCGAAAACGGTGTGTCTTAAGAAAAATAGTTGAGACACCTTTTCTCTTCCAAACTGAACAAGGAATTCAAAAATAATTTTTATTTTAAGAAAAATCACTGGCATAGAATTTTTTTTCTTTAAAAATATCCAGACGTGCCTTTGCGCATGCCACTGGCGAAACTGAAAACAATATTTTTATCGTAAAACATGTATTGTTGTTAACTGTCAAAGCCTGTAAAATTTCATTAAAATATTCTGAGCGGCTTCCGCAATATTTTTAAATTTGCATTGTTTTATTAAAACTCTAACACCCCTGTAGATCGGAAACTAAGCCTTTTCGGAATATGGTATATTATCACAAATCACTTGTACTATAACCTCTTGCAATGCATCGACTTACCAAACACTCTGTATACAAAGCTATAAATGAACATAAAAGAATATCGATTTATACAATTATAACCAATTAAAATGACTTTGCGTTGAAAATAATTGTAAAGCTTAAAATACAACACCAGAATTTGAACAGAAAACATAACAAAGCATTAAGTTTATTGGAAACGGTTAACATTACCGATTTGGACAAGAAACCTTTTTTTAGATATTTCGCGAACTTTGATGCAAGAAAATTTGCGAAAAAATGCTAACAGAAAAGATTATCAATTTTCTGGCCGATGAAGGCTGTTGAAATGTTCCAGGCTATCAAAATTTTTTTCTTTTCTTTATTTTCGTGGGTGCATTTTGAAAAAAAAAAATCTAAACTGAAAAGGGTCGTGACAAATTACAAATATAACAAAGTAACTTTTTGTACTTTCATCAGCATTACCTCAAAAAAAAAAATGTCAAGAACTTGTACCACTATTCACCCCATAAATAGTTCTCGGAAACTCTGTGTAAAGATATTTACAAACCACTAACCTTTATCATTGGACGAGTCCTCTTTATTACCATCACTTTCTTTATTACCATCACTTTCTTTATTACCAACACTTTCTTTATTACCCTCACCCTCATCGTCACTCTCGACGTACCATCTTTTCACTCTCGCTCTAAGTGTTCTGGGTCTTCCGACCGTCTCGCTGACACCTTCTACGTCCGGTTTCCGTCGGGGTCTCCCTCGTTTTTTGGTAGACTCCACTTTCTCCCTGCAATTAACGCTAGTTACACTTTTATCTTCAGGTATCACAGTTTTAAGATCCCCTTTCGACTGGGATCCATCGCTTTTCTCCAAATCATTTGCTTCTTTTATTTCTAAACTGTTTACTTCTTGTTTCGGAATCTGAAAGTAGACCGGCTGAAACAAAGAAATAAATGTGACTGCCCGTTCGTTCCGGGAATTTTAATAAAAGTGGCGCCATCTATTGTCTTCTCACCGTTTTTTCATATTGTTCCTGACAAACAGGTGGCGTTTTAGGTAACACTTACTTTCTCATCTCGGTTAATTTTCTTTTTGCCCCTTCTCATCCAGTACGCCCGTTTCCTTGTATTCTCGATAATTTCTTGCTCTTCGGCAACGTGTTTTTCTTCATGAGACTTTATCATGCCGTACGATAAGACCTCCGTACAGTACCGGCAAGGCCTCTTGTGCGTTTTACAATGTATGTTAAGCATGTACGGTGTCCCGAGGTCCGTAGAACACATCGAGCAATGCGCGCTGTGAGATTTCATGTGCTTGACGTGATCGTACAAGTCGTGTCTAGTGTTACAGATGAAGCACATACACAGCCTGTAAAAGGATAAAACAAATAAACCTGTTTACAGACTGTAACTAAATTCTTTTACATTCTTACCATTGTGAATTCTCTTCTATCAACACTTTATTTCTCTTATAGGGGCTGATTAGATAATCGTGATCGTTGATGTAATCACCCTCGTTAGTATAGTTAGTGAAGAGTACGACGACGTCTTTGTCTTCTGTCTTTGGCAATTTGATACTAAAAGAATTTGGGTCTATTTTAAACTTTTTTTCTGCGGGTTGTTCACTGACCGGTATGATTTTAATTTTCCTCCTGTTCCTCTTTCTATTGGATATTACAGTTGTCGCTGAAATAAAACAAGATTGCTTCTAAAAAATCGATCCATCCATTTTTTTATCTTTTTTGAGTAACCTGGTATAGTCTTTCCTAAATCAGTTGAACATGCAAAAAAACTCCTGGCAATAAAATTTAAAGAGTTTCATAGTCCTCCCTAAAAATGTTTTCTGCTAAAGGTAAAAAATTATAATAATTTCTATAAAATGTGTAGAAAATTTCTNATTTCGTTTTGTTCCGTTTCAAAAGGTCTCCAAAATGCCATGTTGTGATAATATTAGTAAACAAAACATCTCTCTTATTTCTCCCTTTCGCAATTGTAATATGAATGATTGATAGAAGGTGCCTATAATAAATTCAAATTGCCTGAATCACACCAAATTCCGCATTGCTGCACTGCACTGCTGGGCAATTTATCAATCACTTGTCAACTGCTGAAATTTATTGCCCAGTAGCCCAATGCAACTGTATTTGTTTTCCTTTGCCCATGCTCGCATTCTTCAACAGGGCGTATACATTTCTACCACCTCCACGTTTTGTTCGACCAGACCTGTATGTGGGTATAGCTAAATAAATATGGGAACATGAATATTTCAATGCCGAGTTCTACGTCAGCAACCGAACCTGGTACATACTGTCATTCTGTTGGTTCTTCAATTGACATCGGAAAGACTATACATGAAATTGTGATTTGAGATAGTAATATGAGGTATTTCATTAAGAATGGGACATGGGTTAGTGAGAGATTCCCGAGACAAATATGCTTTAATGAAATGTAGCTCGTTTTCGATCTATAAAATCAAATGAAAAAAATTCAATACTTCAAATACCTGAAAGTATTCTAATTAGATAATAAACTCTATATAAGTTTCCATTTACCAATCGTAAATATTTCCTAAATTTTTTGTCTATATCTCTTTATATTAATATTTAACAGTTTATTTAAAAAATTATGCACTTGTCGCCAGTACATTTACTAGAAATAACATTTCCATTTATAATTTTAGAAAAACCTTTTTTTCTCTAATATTCCTGCTTCATTGAATACCAAATAAGGGCAAGTTAGATATACAAGATTTTGTGTTCAGAAAAAAACTATATTTTATTAGATAAAATTAAAAAATATACATTAGGTGGGCCGAAAATCCCCTTTTTTGAATTTTTATTGTTAATACCGAAAATATTGTTCATTATGCATAAAAAAATTTATGCGAAAGGAAAAAATTTTAGATATTTTTTAAGCCCGCCAAATTTCGTCAAAGTTTAAAGTAACAGAAAATTTTGTTTGTACTTGCCTTTATAGGAAATTTAATTCTCTACAAAAAGGTATTTAGAAGAAATCTGTTGAATTAATAATTTCTGAGATAATAGCAATTCTAGTAGAAAAATTGACGTTTTTCACAATATTTATGTTTTTTGTAGACAAAAAGTGATTAAATATCTATTTTATAGGAAATTCTATTCTCTACAAAAAAGGTCCTTAAGAGAAATCAAATTAATAGTTTTTGAGACAACTTTCGTAAGGGTTATTTTCGGATTGGTGGCTAATTGGGCCAAATATACACGAAAATATCGCACTTAAATATCTATTGTGATCCAAAATCGTACATCTAATTACAGTGCAGTCTCAAGATATGTTTTGTTTTTTGGGAATTTTTACCGGAAGCTAAAATCCATAAGGTTTTTGCGGGGTAAATTTATTTTGAATTGTTACCCCATTTTCTCTATTTAAATGTATCCTCGAACTAATTTTATTTATGTTTTTCTTTAACTAAATAATAGTCCAGTCATTATAGACATGAAACAGTCTGTCTATCCGCTATCTTCTTTTTTGCAATTAAATAGTTGAATTCATCTTAATGTTAATGTGGAACATGAAAATATAGCTTTTAACGTATACTCTCTCCAATTTTCGGCTCTTAATATTAATAATTAATGTCACAGCGATTAAATAAAAAAAAATTGTTTTAGCTTCTAATCAACTTAGAACGATTTTTTTTAATTCTAAAAAAATAGTACTAACTAAACTATAGAGGTTACTATTTCATTTTATGATAATTTAATAAATATGAACATTTTTTCAGTCATTTCTAAACAAATTCAATTTGAAACATTAAATTCTCAGTAAATGCATATGTCAATACAACTATTTAGGTACAAAAGCAACTAATGATCGAAACTCTACAACGCCTGTGAGCTTGGGAAAAACGAATTGAAAATAGCATCTTCTTAGATAACAAATTCCCCCAACGCCAAAGTAACGAAGCTTTCGGGCTGAAATTTTTACCACTTATTAAGGGTGCAAAGAGCTTTAAGAATCCTATCTGAGATGAAAATTGCATTATTATTTATTAGCAATTGAAAAAAAACGGCCATTTTCGATAATTTTTGAGCTCTCGCGCATAAACAAATTATCGGAATTTAATCGGACTTGTGACATTTTACAGGTTTATTTAATACCTACCTTTTTTGTATAAACCTTTTTTCGCTATGAATAAGAGTTTTTTTTACGCGAGTCAAAAAACCACTTTTCTATAACTTTGACTATTGTTTAAATAAAGTTTTCCAACTAGTCTAGAGTAGATTTTTTGATATTTTGTTTATAACATGTTTCAGAACAATATTCCCAAGAGAAATTTCTAATAGTATTTTTTTTCTGAAACAGGCTTTTTTATGTCAATAATGACTTGACTATTTAGTTTAGTCAAAATGAAAGCTATTAGAATTTAGCCAGAAAATTCTAATATTTTTTGAAAAATGTAAATGTTTAATTTTAGTCAATTACAATATCACCATTTTTTTCTAAATTAAGAATTAGCAAGTATATTTAGATTAAGCAAAAATTAGTAGACAATTTTTTAAAATCATATAAAAAGTTTTTCAACTCGTTAACTTTTAAGCATTCATTATACAGAGTAAACAAAATTTCATTATTACTACAAATATCTGAAACTATTTGAGATATTGAAAAACTCATGAACATGCTGAAATTAAAGATTAACAACATTTCACAGAAAAAAAATGCTTATTTCTTTCTTTTTTTTTTTAAATTTAGCTTAATTTCATTTTACTTAAAAAGAAGAAACTGTTATTGTAATATTAAATAAAATGCACAAAATTCAATAACGAGTTTGTAGCTAATTTAAAAAAAATCTATTCTTTCTAAATAAAATCCAAATGAATAATAAGTGAATCTTTTTCTTAGTGGTAAGATTACTTCGACGATTTAATATATATTTTTTTGTATATCTAATAGATTCCAAGATGTGCAGTGTAAAGGTTCAATAAGGATTAAAATAATGAAAATGAGAATATAAATTAATAATAATTGACGACAACCAACAAACATATGGTATAAGTGGTGGATAGGTGCTGTATAATTGGTAGTACTAGCGAATTTACATTTCATAAATAAGGATTTATTATAATTGGAATTTTTTTAAATGAAAATTTGAGAAATTCCGAATTCCTTGATATTTCCTCAATATTTCCAGTTATATCAACTTAGTCGAATAATTCTCAAAATATCAGCGAAATTACAAACTTTTCTTTTTATTTTTGACACCCTGTAAATCGAGCTTTGATCTAAGAAGTATCCGATTAAGCCGAGACCCATTTTTTATGAAACACCTTATCTTTGGTATCTGAACTAACATTTATAGAAAAAACATTTGTCTTACTATGCATTCCCTCAGTAGCCATCTGCTTTGCTATTTCTCCAGTCCCAGGCGGCTCTTCCTGTAATTTGTAGTGGTTACCGCATTTCACCATCCGTTTACCATTTAAGATTAATACATCCGGAGCAGAGGTCAACACTTTCACCACCTTCATTTCCGTTTTTGTCGCTTCCGCGAGCGTATCTTTTTTATCCGAAGTGATGGAATTCGGGGTCGATTCTGAGGTTTTCTTATCAAGTTTGGAATTGGCCTGTTCGACTTGTTGTAATTTGAACTCTTCGAGCTCCTTAAAACCAAAGTTGTTGATGGTCACAAAATCGGGAACGTCAACGTATTGATCTGGATGGTTTACTTCTGGAATGCTATCTATGAACTCTTGAAGGCTCGGACTGCAATGGTTCTTGAAAGAACCCGTCTCGGAGGCGTCTAATGTCTCTTCGTCGGTTGCGGTGTAATTAAAATCGTCATGAAGATCGATATCTATTGGTTCATCTTTTATGTCCACAGTGTCTTCCATTTTAGTTTCCATGCCAGTAGCATCTTCGAAATTCGTAGTGTCAAAATTATTTTTATCTGTATCTTCTAGGTCACTATTTAGAGAAAACACACCAGATATTTTGCACAAATTGTTTGAATCGTCTTGTTCTTGCAGATCTTCATTTTCACAATTTTGTAACATAGCGAATTGTGCTTCTCCACCAGCGGTATCTTGAGATGAGTTCTGATCTTTATCATTGGGTGTTTGAACAACATTCAATAACTTAATCTGATTTATAACCACATTTTGGTAATCCGAAAAATTTACAACTTTTCCTTGATTTGTTGGATTCGGGGCAGACTGTCGCTGAAATATTTTGATAACGAGTTAATTCTTTAAAACCATAATTCGATGGAAATAATTTTAAACTATGTTCAAGATCAAATTTTTTCATCTGAAAATTTACATCAAGACAAATATTGAAAGACCGGTTTCAAAATCAGTTATAAAGATTATTAAGATCATTATTATAGTAAGTAAAAAGGAAAAGTTCACATAATTTTTATTAAATCATCCTTCATTTACTTTTTACTTGTCTTAATAACTTAAAGATGACATACCTATAAATCAGGACATCCTATATATCAATTAATGACTAATATAGAGTGTCCCAAATAAAATATTTACTTTAACATTTGATATTGAAATCAAACAAGCAATAAGGAAAATGTGATTTTTGTACTATCTATATTTTTTTTAATAGATAAATTACAAAAATAAATTTTCATACCACATCCAACACCTGTTGTTGGTCGACAGTTTCACCTTCAACTGGGTTTTTAAACGGAGGTGCTACATTTTGTATAGTGATTATGTTGGTTGGTGGTGGAGGTAATTCCTGAAGCAATACTGGTGTTTGCATTTCATCGCTAATATATGCTAGTACATCGTGCAACTCTACACTTTTTCCCGTGCATCGGACATTTTTTAAATAATTCCCAATTCTGTTTTCGGTATCTAAACACTTCTTTTTGAATAAGTAGGCCACTTTCAAGTTCTCCTTGCAAGAAAAACATATTTCTGGATTGGAAGATAGCCCCAAATACTAGAAACAAATATAATAGTTATAAAAGTGACAAGAAGTTAATTCCGAGTACAAATACAGTTATTTCCTCTTACAATGACATAATATGTTGTCATTTAATAAAAAAGTTTATGTAGTATTTGATACAGTAAACAAACTTACTAATTCAGGGATGCAAAACCTCAGAACCACTGAAATCCGTACAGAACCCTCGCCAAAATTACCAAGTGCCTGAGAAGTTCTAAAAGTTCTGTTAGTCCTTTGCAAACATGTTCGACATATTTTAGACATGCTTTTTGTGTCTATTAACCACTATTATGTCTGCTGAATAACAAAATTTACTGCAAACACAAATGACACTTAAATGACAACTGACAGAATTTTAGCAAACGCGCGCAACTTGTTATGGAATATTTATCGCTATTTTGTTGGTGACATTTTGAAAGATGCTGTCCTCCATTTTGTTTAGCCTTTCTATTATAAGAATAAATAAATTTATCAATACAAAAATAAATGAAAAGTAACAAAAATGTGCCAAGGATTGTATTGTCATAATTCAATACAGTTTTACTTTATTTATAAATTTGTTGAATTGATATTTACTTTTAGGTTAGGTTATAACACGAACATGAATAATACTATTTTATTTAAAATAATGTTTAAAATTGACTATTATTATATAAGAGTATTTTTTCATTATGATGATTTGTAGAAAGAGGTTAAGTTACATTTCGAGTTCTGATGTCATAAAAATTGTTTCACTCTGTATATGAGATTTAATTCTCGTTTAGTTGGTCGTTAAGTTGCCAATGCCTGATACAACCGGAAATAAAATTTTATTCCAGTACTATATACTTGATACTTGCAATGCAGGTTCATAAAATTCAAATAATTGTGTACCTATATCATTATATAGGAACACAATTATATCATTATATTATTTGTCATTACAAAGATGCATATAAATATAACATATTACATTTAAATATACACACAAACATATAATATTACTGAACGTACCTGTTTTGTGGAACCCACCCTCAATTTTAAATTTAAACAACGTATTACCTGCACTCATTGATTGTTTTTTTTTTATTGTTTATGTAAACATCAACTTACTAACTGAATAATTAATTACCGACAATTATTAAATAATAAAGTTGTTGATTGCCGTTTATTCCATAAATTAAAGGATGGCTGAAAAAGTATTTATTCGCGGGCGCCAAATCCTCAGAATTCCAACAATTTACTATCCAAGAGTTTTTATGAGTAGTCAAAGCCGCAAAGTAATTTGCAACAGAGAAATTGTAGGGTACGGCTTTAACGGAGAACCCAACTATGTAGACAGACCTGACTACCCGATGCCTGCAATTCGTTGGAAGGAGACTACGCCACAAATATTTGCCCTACGTCAGAAAGAAAAAGGCGACTGGAATAAATTGACGCTTGCGGAGAAGAAAGCCTTGTACAGAGCGTCTTTCTGTCAGACATATGCAGAATTCCTCGCCCCCACTGGCGAATGGAAATCTGTAATTGGAATGGCATTTCTGGGTGTTACTGTAGCTTTGTGGGTGTATTACGGGATAAAGATATGCACTCTTAACCTGGTACCTGATACATTCTCTCCCGAGAATCGAGAGGCTCAATTGAGACGCATTATTGATTTACAAATAAATCCCATACAGGGTATCGCATCAAAGTGGGATTACTGCAAGGATGATTGGAAGAAGTAAATTTATAGAGCATTCGTCGATGGATGGACCTTTTCTATTTATAAGCAAAATAATTGTTTTTCTTCTGTTCTGTAATAAATTGTTAATGTTACCCTTCAAAACCTCTTAATGAATGAGATATTGAAAGTAATTAAACTGATGGAAAATATTTATTGTGAATAAGATAAAATTAATAATTACCTGAAAATTAAAAGAAATTTGGTATACGCAAGACTTTAACATACGCCTGTGGCTTTTGTGAGGAACTTCCTCAAAAATTTGTATTAATCGGTGAAAAGGATAATATATTTTATTTAATCAAGTACACTTTTATTTTTTTCTATTTGTAATTTCATTTCATTCACATTTTTTTTTTCTCAAGTCCAACTATATACTATTGTTAGTTTCTTCTTTTTATTGCATTACATGTGATGATACAATCCACGTATTCCAAATAATAGCCACATATTTCTGTCAGAATAATTGCAATTGTTCGTAAAAGAACATAAAAATGATATCACTTAATAAAAATACCCAGTATGGCAACTGTAAGATTATTTTATTCATTTGACTTTCAAAATGTTTTCAATACCGATAGGAACTTCAACCCAACAAAATCATTTCGTGAACACAATATTTTATTACTTCTCTGTCACGGCATAAGACAGATTTTGAACGAGACTTTTTTAAGTTTCTTTAAATGTATCAACCCATATTAACGCTAGAGTTGAACTAAACAATGAACCAAGATTTACAAAGGAAACCCTGCAACTTCGTGACCTTATTTATTCGCCGGAGTTAGAAAATACGTAAATAGACTAATGGGAACACCTCTTCGAATTTCTGCTGTCCTAAGGCAAATGGAGAATGAAACAGTTAAATTAGAATAGAAACGCCGCATTTTTTTGCTCTTGGTTTGTTCAGCACAAATTTGAAAAGTATAAATCGCTCTAATGCAATTATCGGGGAAAATTTTTATCCTTGTATTTCTATGTAGGACGTGTATTCCAAAGGTATCCCATCTACGTTCACAACTCCACATTAGAACGTTTGAGCAACCTCTGAGGGGTACGAGCGTAATCAGTGACTCCTCACAAACTTGTTGGCTGCCGCAGTTGCCAAAGAATCATGTTAGTTTGTGTATATTGTTTAGTGCCTTTTTTGTGTTCGTCGGATTTTGTTATAGCTGAAAATGACGGATAGATGTGACCAACGAATTTGCAACAAGTTTCGCTTTAAACTCAAAAAAAAAAGTTATGCAGAAACTATTGAAATGATGAAGGCCTTTGGGGACGAGTGTATGGGCAAAACACAGATACAAGAGTGGCACAAGTAGTTTGAAAATGGCGGCATGTCTGTTGACAGTGATCTGTGTTTTGGCCGACCTTCAAGCACAATAACACTAAAAAATATTGAGAATGTGCGACTTGCGACTGAAGATCGTCATTTGACTGTACCCGAACTAGACATGGATCTTGGAATTCCAAAAACTTGTGTTTCGATAATTTTAATCCAGAATTTGGGAGTGTTTCGCTTCGAAGTCGCTCAGGACAACTTGGAACTGGTCGTTAACGACGAAAATGTGCTAAAGGGGTCACTTTGGTGCCCGAAAAAATAGGCTTTTTTCAAGAATTTTTTTTTGAGCATTCTTTCATAATAATCATGAACAACCAATACACCTATCGATTAAGCAACTCTTCAGGGGTAGGAACAATTTTTTTTATTGAAAATTTGTTGCAAAGTGGCAGCTGTAGGAGCGCATGAATAAAACTAAATTTTTCAAAGATTCTCCGCAGCGAGCAGTAGAAGTCCTCTGGATCACCATCCGAAAGCATAATTTTTTTTTTTTTCATAAACCACAGGAGTTTAACTAGTGAAGTACACACGATCATAATATTAGGAATTTTTTTCACAAACTGGCGAGACCTTGAACGAAAAATTCGAATTTTCGACAAAAAAAATCAAATTTATAAAAAAATTCTGTTGACCAATTGTAAAAATCGTGAGTACTTCACTAGATAGTCACACGATGAAATTACAGTTCAATTTTCAAGTCGATCGGATGAAAACGCTTCAAGTTCTGCTGCTCGCCGATTTCAAAAGCATGGTTTCAGGAAAAACACTTTTGAAGTTTGAGAACGCTTTAATATTTGAAAATCATAATATGGACCATGTGGATATTGCAGCCATGTAAAATAACGTTTTTTTTTGCTTGTGATGACATCTATGGTTCACCTTTGAAGTATTTTCTCGATAATTGGTAAGTTATAGGCGTTTTTAGGTACACGAAATTAAAAAATGCTGTATCGACGAGAGAAGCGAAATCTGTTTTTACGCTTCGGAATTGTTGCGAAAAAATTAATTTTATGGATATTTCTGTCTTTTTCATGCAAAAAAGTTTTTGATTATGAATCTAAGAATGTTTTAGTGTATTTCAAACCAACATAAAAAAAATTGATAACAAAAATTTTCAGTGATATAACCCCTTAAAAGGCCTTTCCTGTTGTCGCATTGTGGGATTACGGTTATGGTCACGAAACAAAACAACAGTCTTTATAGTGGAAGCTTCCATCTGAGCCATGACCGAAAAAAGCACGTCAAAACCGGAGCAGTGTCAAGTCCATTTTGATTGTTTTCTTCGATTATGAAGGTGTTGTGCACCATGATTATGCTCCAAGAGGTCAGACGAACAAAAAAAAATAAAAGTCCTGAAAAGACTGCGTAACGCAGTGATAGGAAAATGGCCGCATTTTTGGGCGAGCGGGGACTGGTTTCTTCACTACGATAATGCATCAGCGCATTCAATTAACCCTGTGCAATAGTTTTTGACCCCCATACAGTTCCGATGTAACCCCCTGTGACTTTTAGCTGTTCCCAAGATTGAAAATTTTGCTCAAAGGGCACCGGTTCGACGACACAGACACAATTGAAACGAAAGAGACGAGCGCATCGAAGGCCATTCCGAAAACTGACTTCCAGAACTGCTTCAGGACATAGAAGCATCGATGGGAGCGTGTTGTTCAGTCGAATGGGGATTATTTCAAAGGATGCCATGAAATCGGTGACGAAGAATAATGCCAACGTGAGTTACGAACACAGTTAAATTTTGGGACACAGCTCGTACAGAAAAAGTGAAAATTATTTCCAGCTATCTCTGTTGCTGAAAAAAAAATTGTAATCAAATATCGTTTGTTGTTATATCATCGTCACGTTTGTATAAAATAGTATTTTTAAGAAATTGGCAAATAATTAACCTTACCTCAAGGGGAAAACTTGTTTTCCATACGGAAGGGGAAAATCAACGGATTACTTAGTTATTATATAATTTATTTAACATAACCATAATATTTTCTGAAAATTTAAAGCATACTTTTACATCTATTTACAATAACTGTTCAAATAATAAATAAATAATGAAAAAACTGAAAAATACAAAAATGCATAATGCGATGAAAGTATACATTATTGTCTAGAAATATATTAGTATGTGTATTGAATTCAGTATAATTTTCCTCCATAAAGCTACACATTCGCAGTAGAAACAATCCTTTCCGGACCATTTTTATTTTATCAAAATAAAACTCGGTATGTGTAAGGCTTTAGTACAAAAATCCGAAATCTGAAAATAAACCGTAAGTCAAAGATGCTCGTTAAAATTTAAAACTTTTACACATTTCGTTAAATATTTATAAATATACATTAAACTTGAGAAAACTTCCATTTCTAAGTATTTTCATTTAAACAAAAATATATATATATATTAATATCAGTTTATTGCTCAAAAAAATCTTTAGCGTAAAGCAAACGTACCTCTAATGCGATAATCAAAAATATTTATCACATCCTCTCAGTGATCTAAAATATCGGGGATTCCTTATAAATACCTTATGTATGTAACAAAAATAATACAAAAATAAATATAACAGAATAATTAAAATGTGCCCTTGATTTGTGCGTCCGACTAAACACAATTCGTCGGAACGTCTAAAGTCGGGGCGAGTGTAACAAAATGCAAACAAAGTTATAACCTTAAACGTAATATATACAATAAATTCACTTTTTTAAACCAGACGCCGGTTTTCCATATAACATATTCTTGTAGCGTTGAGGTGATTTGAAGAAGTGAATTCAATTTGGTCAATTTTTCTAGAATAACAGGCTAAAATTTTCAGTTTATTTATATCAACTTTTAAGCTATTGTTTTGACTTTGATTCAAAGAGAGCTTTCATATCCTTTATACAGTAGGTGGGTGATGTTTTTTCTTTCCTGAAAATGAGATGAAATTTATATATTTCCCATTATTAAATACAGGGTGTCGCAAGACTATGAACAAAATTTTTTCATAACAGTAGTGGTACGAATTCTTACGATTCCTTTTTGAAAATTCAATATTAATTAAGTACCTTCAAAATATATTTTTTAAATTAATATTTTGAAATTTACTACATTTATTATTACTAACAAACTGCACCTACCTGACAGAATCGTCAAAATTATGATATCCCAAAATTAATCTTTAACATTTTTATAAGTTGTTTTTCAAGAAATTAAAAAGATTAGCACCAAAGGTCATTAAAAAGTTTTTACAAAAAGGCACACTTGTTTAAAATCGATGATCAACTATTTCCAAGAAAAACTGTATTTAGTTATAAATAAACCCTGGACTCTTCGAGTGGTGACGTATAAGCGGCATAAATCACCAGTTTTACCGTTCATCGTATATTATCACTTGTTTAAATCAGATTGATAACAGAACACAAAAAAAAGAGTTGTCTGTACTGTTCATGTGACAGAATAGCAAAAATTCACGAAAAAGTGCTAGGAAAAATACAAAAAAATGTTATTTCTATATTCAAATGTTCATTTATATGGTTAAGACCTCGCCGAACCTGAATCCACGGTTAGAATTAATGGTTCTTTTTCTAACCTCAAAAAATAACAGATTCGCGCCAAATTTGATAAACGGGGGTTTTCGGGGTCGCTGATCACGGATCCGAGATCAATTCTGCAAAATTCAAGATGGCCGACCAAATTTTCAAAAAATAACGTATCCGCGCCAAATTTAGTTTACAGGGATTTTCGGGGTCACTGATTACGGATCCGAGGTCAATTCTGCAATTCAAGATGGCAGATACAAGATGGCCGACCAAATTTTCAAAAAATAACAGATTCGCGCCAAATTTGGTCTTGGGGTTTTCGGGGTCCCTGATTACGAATTCGTAGTCAGAATTGTGAAATTCATTTTGTAATAATTTTGTTTACTTTATAACCTGAGTACCCTATACCTTAACCTTCCTTTAACCCCCTAACCTTCATTTTTTCGGCTATATCTTGTTCTCGTTTCTGTAAATGATCTATTCACGAATTTTCTGCCTAATATCAGGTAATAAAGTACATAGGTAATTGATTAAACTTTTAAAGACGAATTTTGTAAATCTGATCTCGAGTTCGTGATTAGTGACTTGGAAAACCTCCGCGAATGTTATTTTTTGAAAATTTGGTCGGCCATCTTGGATCCGCCATCTTGAATTTTGCAAAATTGATCTTTAATTTGTGATCAGAGATCCCGAAAAACCAACTATACCAAATTTGGCGGATTATTTTTTGAAAATTTGGTCGGCTATCTTGGATCCGTCATCTTGATTTTGCAAATTGGACTTTGGATCCGTGATCAGCGACCCCAAAAACCCCCGTATACCAAATTTGACGCGAGTCTATTATTTTTTGAAAATTCATTATACCTTAATCATGTTTTCTTTTTGAGGTTAGAAAAAGAACCATCAATTCTGACTGCGGATTCACGTTCAGCGGGGTCTTAACCATATAAATGAACATTTGAATATAGAAAAAAAATTTTTTTGTAATTTTCCTTGCACTTTTTTGTGAGTTTTTGTTATTTTTGACCTGTTTTGTGAGGTTAAGAAATTCCTGTGATGTGATAGCCCAATTCCGACACCAGATTCATGATCAGGAGGCAAAACTACTATGGATAACATATGTCGCATGAAAAGTACAACTTTTTTTTTGTGTGACTGTAATTTGACGGTAAATTATCGGACCAGTTTAAATTAGTGATAATATCCGATGAACGGTAAAACTGGTGATTTATGTGTCATCATTGCGAAGAGTCTGAGATTTAGTTATAAACAAAGAAAAATTTGAACATCAAAGAAAATTATGTTCTACACAATTCGAAGCATCCTGCTAAAAAAAAAAATGAGTAATGAACTTTAGTATTACGTTTTTTAATTAAAAAAAATAATAATAATAAAAAAGGCAAAATATTAGTAAATAAAAAATCACTTTGAATTTGAGGTAAAACCATTTATTTTGCTTTTCTAAAACGGCGTCCCTAATTTTTTTTGCTGGTAGTTTTTAGACACCCTGTATAAACAAATTTCTTCAGACTGGAAATATTAGAGAGAAAATATACAAAACACTCTTTACTCATGAAACACAAGATGTGTTCTTTGAAGAAAAGTTAAGACAATCGATACGTATCGTTTTACTTACTTGGGGCTACGATTCTCCAAACTAATCCTCCTCAGCCTGTCCGATTCGGTTTCCCTCTCCCTGCTGTCAAAGGTGTGCCTCCGCCTCTCCTCTTTCGAAAAATCGTCGTCCTTCCTCTTAGGCCTTATAAAGTCTAGGTCCTTCAAATCGTCGAAATTCTCCTTTTTGTCCGTCCGTCCATACACTTTCTCGCGAGTCTCTAATAAATTTTTGGCATAAATCGTATCAGTCTGTTTGGTTGGTTCCCTAAACGAGGATCTGTTCTTGCTGGATCTGAGATCGGCCGGAGCAGAGATTCTTTGGTTATTTTGTTCAAAAATGGCGGCGCGCGACTTCAGGCTCTCCTTCATCGGTTTCGTTTCCTTCTTGAAGTTGTCCACGTGGTTCTGGTTCTCTTTCGCTTCCAGAGCGTTTTTTGACTGTTTAGTAGAGGAAGAGTCTTCCTCCAGGCTATCGGCCGCCATCTCGGCACTATCCTCGTTGCTGTGGGTGCTTCTCCTGCGGCCATGCGGCGGTTTGTCCGTGTTGGCCGTTGGCTTAGGCGGGTCGATGTTATCGTCCTTGTGCTTGTAAATTCTCAGTCGAGTTAAGAGCACCTCCTTGTCCTCCTTGAACGATTCAGATCTGTAATAACAAAGCGGTTGTAACGGGCTAACTCCAACATTATTTCATGTACTTGCGTCTACCACAAATTCGCACATCAAAATAAACTAAGACACTAAAATGAAACTACTTACTAATTCAACAGATTTTAAATATTTCATAAAGTTATTTCAAGTTTTTGGTAATAAAAAGTATTTGTTACTACTTTTTTAAAGCACTGTGTTTAGTTTGTGTCACAGTGTCAATGACCTCTATCATATCAGCGCTAGGCGGGCAAAAAACAAATGAAATTTAGTATCCTCACCTGTACTTATCTTGTAGAATTTTCCTCCTCTCCTCCTTGTACCGTTCGATCCGTTCCCTCTTCTTCTGCTCTTCCTCCTCCTTTGTGATGTTACCCACATTTTCCGAGCTGTGCGCCAAGTGGATAGAGTCGACTTGGCTGTCGTTCCTCGGCAAACTTTTCGGTTGGTTCAACGTTTTCGGCAACGAATTAGTTTTGTAACCCAAACTCTCGTCCAAACTCTTCCTGCGCTCCGTCACGTTTATACCGAATTCCTTGTTAAACTCCTCCTCGTCCAGAGAACGCGTTTTCAACTGGTGCTTCAAATTTCTCGCCCTCAAGCACGGCGGCAGGCTGTCTTTTTCATAAAACTTCCTACATCTAGAACTACCGTTCGCGTTTGTACTTTCTTCAGTTAAATTCGAGTTTACTTTTTCTACGTCTAATTCTAATACTGCATTCTCACTAGGCACAGTAACTTTTTTGTTAGTAGTATCAGCGACGGCTGCCACGGCCGCTTCTTTTTCCTCAAACACGCTGGCCAGGTCTCGTACGTTTACGTTCTGTTCTAACGATTGCGCTCTTTTTATTTCGTCCGCAAGCGATTCAGTCTTTTCATTGTTTAGTTCTACGTCCTCGTACACGTTTTCCTCGTGCAAGCTGTCACCCTCGATGTTCTCGTAGACGTGGGGGTTTTCGTTTTCAAGGGAATCGTAATTTTCCCCTACCGCCTCGTTTTGAGCTTGCAATCGTTCCTTGGACTCGTCACGATCACCTTTCGCCTCCGCAATCTCCGAAAGTTCTTCTTTTGCTTCGATGCTGTTACTTTTACTTGTGACATCCTCGTAAACGTTCTCGCTAGATTCGTCGTCGTTATTCGAAGAAGGTAAGCCGTTCTCTAGATCCAAAAGGGCGTTTACTTCGTGTATGGACCTCCTAAAATATTTCACTTGCTGGTAGATGGCGTTGTCATCTAACGACTCCGTCTCATCTGACTTTCTCTTGTCGTTGCTCGAACTGGCCCTGTTGGGGCTAGAGTGGATGTCGTTTTCCACTGCAGCTTCTACAGGGCTAAAATCTATTAAGTTAACACTAGTAGGCCTGTCCCTAGACCAAACGCCCGATTCTATCGGTAGATTATCTAAATTTTCCGTGGACAAACCTTCGCTGGTGTTCCTATTTTCGGAAGGGCTGATGGGAGTCAGCAGGTCTTGAGACGAATAATCGTACACTGCCGTAGGGCTAACGTTGGGGCTCAAACTATTCTTCGAGGGACTTACGGGGAAGCTGAGCGACGTGTGACTAGTCGTTAAGTTTTCCGTGGAGCTTTCCACGACTTCGCTCAAGCTCAAGTCCGTCGGACTTAAACGTTCCGAGTTCTCGATGTAGTGGTAGGGAGCGGAGCTGATGCTCGGAGTGTACTGTATGTTGGAGTCTGAGGACTGGTTGGAACTCAGCGTCTTCTGATCGTTAAAACTATTCAGGGATAACTGTTCGCTGGTATTGCAAATTGCGCTAGAACTCAGGTTCGGCTTGATGGTAGACTCTTTGCTCGAGTTGAGATCCTCGATGGCGCTAAGACTTTTAGGCCTCTCGTCGCTATTGGTGGATAAAAATTCGCTGTTATCTGATAACGAAGGTTGACTAGCTTCTTGTACGGGTAGTGATGCGGTAGACGTGGGTATAAGCACTTTTTCTGGGTTCAGTATGACATTCTCGTATACCGAATTTACGTTTGTAACGGGACTTTTGACGGGGGACGTAGCTGTGCTCCTAGGAGGCGACTTGTACGTTATGCTGATCGTGGTCAAGACATTTTCGTAGTTCGGAGTATTTGATTTCTTGAAACTGCTCTGTTGGAAAGTGCTTTCCGTGGGCGAACTATCGTATGTGGGGGAAATCCCGGGTGTCGTGTTGGCGCTACTTTCGCCTAGTTGCTTGTAGCCCGGGGAACCGGGTGTGGGCGTTGTCAAGATACTAGCAGGCCCCAAATATTTACGGTTGATGTCCAACTCTGTAAACGATTTAGGTATGATCGTTTTGCTCGTTGTCTCTAAATTTAACGATTGTCTCTTGTCTAAAACGTCTGAATTACGAGGCGATTTATTCTTAGGCTGGTAGGACTCGCTGAATAGTTGTTTTTCTTGCACAACCGGGCTATCAGGAAGAGTGTGTATGACGGCTGTGGTCGACACGATGTTATCGGGAGTGCTGCAATCTATGTATTGAATATCGGAGAGCTGGTCTTCCAGCCTTGTTCTCTTTCGTGATAAGGATTCCGGTGATAGTTCCACTCGAGGTTGTTTTTTTGGAGAGGGGTTGACGGAGTTTGCGGCGCTGTTGAACTCCTCGGGGCGTGCACGTGTAAGGACTCTCCGCTGAGTCTACAAACAACAGTTTACACAAATTATAACAAATTTTACGGAACTTACCTCTTTGTGAATTCTAGGTGAGCTGACCAAACTTTCATCCTCCGAGAAAATCCTCATTTCCGACTCCTCCAGTTCAAAATTCAGTTGGATTTCGCTCAAATCTAACAGGGATCCCTCGGAATTGTTCTGCGAATTTTGAAGGGTGTCGAAATAAGAATCGTGGGAAACAGACCTACAAACGAGTAAAAAGTGTACGAAATCGCTCATATTTTGACACCATCGGGTATACCTATTATGACCCGGCGGTTTGTTCAAGCAGCGCAAAGGCCCAAGTACATCTTCAGTGCTGGCGGGCTCGGAGTGGCCAGATGTCAAACTTTCCGCCGATTTTACGGTGCGCAGTTTCCGTTTCATGTCCGTTAAATCGGACTCCGTCACAGATTTTTCCTGAGAAATATCACAAGTTATTGATTAAAAAATTCTATAGCCACCTTCAAATAATCGACAGACTTACATTAATCGTTATGGGTGTGGAAGCTTTCCTGTTTTTTGTCAGATTACCTTGAGAATTGTTTCTCGATTTAGAAAAAAACATTCTCCATCCCAACGGGGACCTCTTTGTATGCCCTCGTTTCCTTGCACCTAGAAAAATACATGACAATAGCGCCAATTTTTCACATTTTAAGTTAAAAAAATTAACTTATGTAATACTACGGCCTCCTCAGTCGCCAGATCTAGACCTTACGAATTTTTTATTTTTCCACTTCCTTTCAGTCAGAGAATATCACAGAAAAGTATGAATTTGTTACCTGGTGGTAATTCGATGATCGTGTGGTATTTCTTGGGCAGATTCTTCGGTCCCCCGCCAACCTCAATGTAGTTGCACTCCTCCGTTTTGTTCGGCAAATGCTTACTCCTTGCCTCTTCTAAGGTAATCAGTTTGGTAGGCGTGGAAATAGCCAGGCTATTGGGCCTGCATTTCTTCGTCAGGAGGTTATTTTCCGCAGCTAGAGTCGGGTGGTCCAAATTCGGTAAATGATCACAGAATATTAGATCGGCGTAGCAGATCAGAAATTCGGTTACAACGGCCTAAAAACAATTTACAATATAAATACACGCTGTTTATTTTTTTCAACACATCTTACTTGTACTCCCACACCCTGTAGAGCAGCGACTCCCCCCACCTCTAACGCCTCGCACCTAAGGAGGTTGGGGGCCCAAACTATGGCCACATTTCTGGTCGTCATGCCAGTGCTAGCACCATGTTTCGCCACTTTCGCTAAGTGCCGCATAAGGTATTCGAGAGTTCTGAAAGCCGACGGTTAGAAATAAGCGTTTATTATCGTAACGTTACATTTTTACCTGTAATGTGGGGGTGGTAACTTTTGAACGGCTTCTCTCATCTTCAAGAGCCTCTCCCGATCAGTTTCGGAATTTTTTATTGCAGTGTTACATCCCTGCACAGCGTTCACGAAGCTCTGGTACAACTGGTAAGTACATAACGGATTAGGTAACTCCCTAAAAACGAATATTTTCCATCGACATGCCACTTTCAAGAAAAATAATAATCGTCACTGAAAATTACCTAAAATACATCTTCAAGAGCGAAGCAACCGAATGGATATCTTGCAGAATGTCCTCGGTATACAAATTCGGAATGCGATCCTCGTCAAAGGCATTCCTAAGCTTTTGAATGTTAGACGTTACCCCAGACAACCTGGAAGAGACGTAAAAACCAACAAAATCTCAAATTCGAGCTTAAGGGGCTCAACTCACCTGTATATCCCATCGACGATGCCATTCGCCTCAATGAATTCCGCACAGCACTTCAACACCATCGGTATATCGTGGCCCGAATTCAAGAGGTGCTCGCCCAGATCACAGCCGAAAACGCGCTCCTTCAGAATGCCGGACTGCTTGAGCCTTCTTCGCGACGGCCTGTTCAAAATAAAACTTCTAAAGAACGTGATCAGTTTGCCGTGTTTCCTCAACACAGGCTTTATCGGTGTTAATGCTAAAGACCTACAAACGAGATAGTGTTATCCAGATGCAGCTTAATATGAGTACACACGAAAAGCGGCAGTAATTAACGTAAACTGATTAATAATACTTCAGAAAAAAAAAATAGTACGGCCAGTGAAAGTTAATGTTTTTAATAATTATTTGTGTAAATTAAAAAATCTTTCCAAATGCTTTTGCTGAAGCCAAACAGTTTTAGTTTGCCAAAAATTTGCGGACTGACCCTACAACTGGAGGGGGTAGCGGCATGTTCCTCGGGACCTTGTCGCCAATAATGTGAACGCAGTGCTGGGGGAAAAACCCAACTTGAAATCCACGCTTGCCTCTCCACCACATCGATTCCCCAGGGCTAGCCATGTCGATGACGGAAATCATGTCCCCAACTTCCAGGTTCAACTCATCCCGGGCCTAACATAACAAAACAGAATTCACCCATCGACAGAATTAAAAATTTGAGTAGTAAGTAGTAGAAACCGCGGTATATGATAATAAAATCTCGCTACGGCCCACTGGGTGCGCTGCAGGGTTCCGGATTGGGACTCGTCTTACCTGCGAGACGTAGCGACGCACGCTGTACGCCGCAGCAACGGCAGGCGTGTTTATGGAGCGGCTCTCTTCGCTGGGCACCAGCAGCCTGTGGCCCTTATTGTCCATCTGCAGCCAGTTCAACACCGGGCCGCAGTTGACCGAGTTGTCAGCGATTTTGCTGAAGCGCTCCAAGTAAAGGATCAGCTTGATCTGAAACAAAACGAAAATAACTGATGGAGGTTCGAGGTGTAACCAATACATAAAAGAATAAAACTATAGGAAGGCAATTAAAGATATTCTTCGATAACACTCAATTTTTTATACTATTACTTCTGTAATATCTAGAAAATGGGCTGTTTTCCATTGTAACTGATAATACAACCAGAATAACGGATACAAAATTATGTTAATAATGTAAGTTGTCACAAAACCTATGCAAGTTTGGAAATATATTTCCTTCATGCATATGTCTGAGCACAACCACCTAGGGCTGCCTATTTGTAGATTTTTCTTCAAGTTCTAGAGATTTTTTGAGTGAAAACTGTCATAGATTTGAACAAAAAATAAATGTAACATTAAGAAAGATGTCCCTAGATTTGTCCGAGAATAACTCGTATAATAACCGTGTCGTTTATCTAAAATTTCAGTTAATCTCACCTAATTGACTAGTCAGAATAACAGAGTTTAGCTGATATATCAGGTAAATAAAACATGGCTAATGGTATCTACAAAATTTCTGAATTGGCGTTGTTTTGCCAACAATGTATCAATATTCATATGTGGGAAATTTAATTAGTTTTTTTTTTATTTATGTCAGCCTACTTTTATAGTATTAAATAAGAAATATTCGAAACATGTTTCTGTGTACACTATTCAAAACAATTTTGCTTTAATTCACTGATATCATCCACGTTTTGAAAAATTTTATTGATTCGAGCTCGTTACAAACAAATTACATATTTGGATAGTAAAATTAACAGAATAATGCTCTACATAGGTGCCCATAAAAAAAGAGCTGTACAAAAGTTTTGTGTTATGTATATTTCCTTGCATTCAATGTAATTCATTACAAGACCGCCTTGACTTTAATTTCAATGGACTCTTTGCCTTATTCCTCCTTTTTTTTATATACAGAAAAGGCAATAAAATAACAATATAACGTATACTATAATCATACTAACACTAACTGAAAAAGGAAGTAGAAAATATCACTTTGTACGAAAAATTTCCTAAGGACAAGGGTCTAAAAACTCTTAAATGAAAAAAATACTAGATAGTTATGCTGAATTTAAAAAAAATCATAATATTTCTTTAAAGTTTAAGTCACCTTTAATTGGTAAATTGCAGTAATTTTTTGAATGGTTATCCTTTTTTTTAATATACAGGGTGTCCGCAAATTTCATCGACAACGTTTGACTGCGTATTCACGACGATCAATAAATCCGATCTACGAAAAAAAAAAGGTTAAATAAAAACTTTTTGGTTTTTGAGTTACAGGTCTTCAAAGTTGTCAACAATAAAACTAATTTATCTATCACCCAGTATATCGATTTGACTAAAGCTTTAAGAAATAATAAGCCATAATAGTCCAAATAAATGTGCCAAATTTTAACGCTATCGGCAAAAGGGTTATGAAGTTATTAATTAAATTAGTTTTAATTTTGAGAACTTGGAAGGCTTGTAACTCAAAAACCAAAAATTTTTTATTTAACTTTTTTTAGTAGATAGTTTCTATTTATCGTCGTGAATATGCGGTCAAACGTTGTCAGTGAAATTTGCGGACACCATGTATATTTTATTGTTAGCTTTTGTATTTTTACTTTATTTTAAAAATATGAAGCTAATTTAAACCAATTAGAATTTTTTTCTAAGAATCCTGTCAAATATAGTCAAACATTGTTTTGTGGTACCAAAAATCTGGATATACTAAGGATATCTATCCTCATAGACAAGATTTTTAACTGATTTGGCTTCCTTGTAAATTAATAAATAGTAAAAGAATAATTTTATGTACAAAACCCAAAACTTTTAGAAAAAATTGTATTTTGAAACGACAATGTCTAAAGTGTTAACAATTTAACTAATTTATCTTTTCTGAACAACGTAGTGAAGGACTTGAACTCACAAAAAAATAGCATTAACAGCTTTTATTAATCACGTAGAAGACAGAGACCCTTAGTTGTTTGTTTAAAAACCAAAGCAGTTGGATGTTAAAAACTGATTATTAACTTCCTAAATTGAGGAAAACTTAACCCCCACGACGTTTTTATTAACTTCATCATTTTATCAGTACTTTTCCGAAATATAACATAAACTTTACAGTCTCAGGGTTGTCGGTCAATCCTGATTTATTTTGGCAAGCTCGAATGATGAAAGAATAATTAATTATACACTACGCGTTGGCCGGACTATTATTCCACCAGCGGTTAGTAATTAAACATCCCGATTTTGGAACCTCGCCAAAAATTCAACGTTATTGAATTTTCCGACGTCTGAAATGTTTCTTTGATAATCGCTCGACCGAAACGAAAAGTAAACACAGAAAGAAACCAATAATGTATCCAGAAAGCATCGCTGATTTATTTCACAAAACATAGTACAGAAAGAACTATTTTAATACGTAAAGTTTATAGCTCGTTTTACATTTACATTTCATTTAACAAAACTTAAAATAAATAGCGACCTGTCGTAATTAATTGTACATTTTCATGTTCAAAAGCATAAATAAAGATTTTTTATTTTTTAAACAAATCCACCTTATTTTTTGGACAACAGGTTACAGATCTCATATTTTTGTATATGCCAGAAAATATAAAGTTGGACGCGACTTTTTGTTAGGCAAGCTGAATTTATCACTACAGATGCTAAATATTATGCACAGTAACATATTAGTTTCCACAGTCATAAAAATGGGTGGAAGATTGTTTACAGGGTGGTTAATTGTATAATTTGTACGTAAATTCACGTTTTTCGCTTATAACCTTTTTCCGTTCATTTCCACGAGAAAACAGTAAGGTACTTTTTTTTCGTCTTCAAAAGACCTACGTCAAAAAATATTGATTAAATCAGAAGTTATAAACAGAAGTTTATTTATGACTTTTGAATTAAATATTTATAAACTGCGTTATTATTACCAGAACGTTTTGGCATCGCATCCTCTCATTCCTTATCACTGTCCAATAACTCACACGAAATCTGGAATCGGTAAGTTGAATAGTTTACAAGTTATGGCCTAATAAACAAATTAACTAATTTATTAGTCTGGACGATCCCGAGGATCTTCCACAATCGCCCTGATTTTTGTCATGGTAGATTTCATAATAATACATTGAAATCTATAATTTTTTTTTAATTTCAAATTTGCAAACTGGATTTTTTTTATTTTTTAGCCTTAGTTGCAAAATGAAATATACGACGCACGAGCGTGATATAGTTATATATTATTACATATTCGGAAAGCTTATGAAAAGAGCTTTAAGTTAAAAAAAAATCGTCAAGATTCGTTGAAAAACAACGGAGTTGCAGACTGTCAAAGTTGACGGCCGATTGTTAATAAATTAGCGGCAAAAAAAATACTGTCATAACCGGCAACCCGAGTAGTTTCCCAGGTAAAAATATTTTATTTGTGGAAGTATGTTAAGTGCATAAAAATATTGTCAAAAGTCACTGGGTCGCTTGATTTTCGGCGAGCCGTGGCGCGGCGGAAGGGTGGGGGAAGCGAACGACAGCGAGTCCGAAGAAAATGACGATAGTATTCATAGTTCTGCCGTTAAATAAGCGAAATTCGCTTGAAAATAATATATTTGACAGTCTGTAACTCCGTTGTTTTTCAACGAATCTTGACGATTTTATTTTTAAATTAAAGCTCTTTTCATAAGATTTGCGAATATGTAATAATATATAACTATATCACGCCCGTGCGTCGTATAATTCATTTTGCAACTAAGGCTAAAAAATAAAAAAAAATCCAGGTTGCAAATTTGAAATTAAAAAAAAAATGATAGATTTCAATGTATTATTATGAAATCTATCATGAAGAAATCAGTGCAATTGTGGGCGATTCTCGGCATCGTCCAGACTAATAATTAGTTAATTTGTTTATAAGGCCATAACTTGTAAACTATTCAACTTACTGATTCCAGATTTCGTGTGAGTTATTAGACAGTGATAACGAATGAGAGGATGCGATGCCCTAACGTTCTGGTAATAATAACGCATTTNTCTTGACGCTCGAGGGCTAATTTTGTAGGTCTTTTGAAGACGAAAAAAAAAGTACGTTACTGTTTTCTCGTAGAAATGAACGGAAAAAGTTATAAGCGAAAAACGTGAATTTACGTAAAAATTATACAATCTTCCCCCCATTTTTATGACTGTGGAAGCTAAGATGTTATTGTACATAATATTTAGCATCTATAGTGACAAATTCAGCTTGCCGAAACAAAAAGTCGCGAAATGGTCATTTCCCAGCTTATTTTCCTGGTCTATTTCACCTATTTTCATTTTGTGATGTATCTAGTTAAAAAGTTGGGCGTTTTTCTAGTTTGAGAATTAGTCGCCATCTGGGGCAAATCTAGGACAATCCGTCTCTCATTCACACTTGAAACATTTTGTTTTCTTGAGAATCAATTTATAAAAACTGTAATTAAAATTAAGACCATCCCTTCAAATTCCAAATAAGACGAACACAGCTACCATCTCCCCGAAGGTATTTCCTTATAGTTTCAAGGAGCAGCTATTTGGATATTACATTCCTGACGCAGCATATCCAGCTGCATACTACATAATTCGGATAGTTCCTTGGCCACTGTCGCTTGAGCGACACTGGTTATTTTCGTCAAAATGTTCGCTCATAACTGGATGTGACCTAAATAACGCGATCTCCAGTTATCCTTGATACTGATTTTATAAATCGCCGCGCTGGACCGGGATTAAAATCGACACAGCGAGCCGTACATTTAATTCGGTACATATTTCGTATGAAAACGTATACGAGGCCTGGTCGACAAGAAGTAGGCCTTTTGTTCGAGCTGTAGATCAGAAATATTTTTTAGGTTAGCCAATTTTATTTTAGAAGGCACAATTTTAACTTACGATTATTCAATCATTATGGACTTATACAAAATAGTATAAAATAAAACTGAAATCTCTCTGAAGTAATCTGATGCTTGCTGAAATACAATTAATATTTTCTGAAACCCAAAATAGATACA